TCACGACTGGGCCATTGTCTTCCACGTTCCTCCAAGGAAGGGGGGGCGAGAAAGAAAACATTGCAAAAACAAAAGAAGCAGAGCCAAGAGGAGGTGTGAAAGAAGTTGTGAAGAGAAAGAAGGACAGGCTGGAGAGGTTAGGAAGCTCGCTCTCAGGTATGAAATCTAGAAAGTCAAAGAGCTTAGTCCTGCCTCCATGAGCAAATGGTGGGAATCACACATTCCAAGAAGCCCTTCTCCTCAGAGCAAGAAACCCCATTTTTCTTTATAGTACTGCAGTTCTCTCTAACACCGACTAGTTTTTTTAAGCAGCCCAATTACATGGCAAAAAAGTAAAGCACCAGGAAAGTGCGGCAATGAGAGTAGCAAAGGTATATATCAACAACTCATGAATATGGGACAGAACCCCACAGTGTTCTCACTAACAATTCAGAGATTCCTTCTGCAAAATCCTATGCCAAATGGCTAATGTAAGTGCACAAATCCCAACAGTAATCACTCACAATAGATCTCTAAGGTTTCCTCCTGTCCAGAATCACCTTTCAAATGCCAAGTATTTGGTCCCTGAAATGGCACTGTTGGCTAGACAGTCTGTAGTTTTAAGTTCCTGCAAGGTTAAGAACTGAAGCAGGGCTCTCACATGACTTATAGAAAACCTTAGCATCACATCAGGATACTCTGAAAACTGGCAGATACATCCTAACTCGCACAAGTGGATCTCTTTCCATTCTTCCCTAAGGAGTACCCTATGCATCCTGAAAATCCTCTGCTGAAGGGTCAGGAGCCTTCAAACAAAATGAACCACAGCACACAGGATTGCAGTGAGGAGGGGAAATGGAGCAAAATCCCCTTTTCTGCCAGTGCTCCTATGGAGGGGGAGTTTGTCCAGTTTTCTCCTCTTCAGTGTAACATGCAGTTTCTAAACAGTTCCTGACCCTCAGTGGAAGGGGAAGATCTATCTGAATGAACCCTTTCTGCCTCTATTAAAGGTAAAGGTAAAGGTTCCCTTGCTCGAAAGCCAGTCGAATCCGACTCTAGGGTTGCGGTGCTCATCTCCGTTTCAAAGCCGAAGAGCCAGCGCTGTCCGAAGACGTTTCCGTGGTCATGTGGCCGGCATGACTAAACACCAAGGTGCACGGAACGCTGTTACCTTCCCACCGAAGTGGTACCTATTTATCTACTTGCAATGTCTTGCTTTCGAACTGCTAGGTTGGCAGGAGCTGGAACTAGAGACGGGAGCTCACTCCGTCATACGGCACACTCGGGTCTCGAACTGCTGAACTACCGACCTTCCACAGCCTGCAGTTCAGCGTCTTAACCACTTGAGCTTATATATATATATATATTGAAATGATTTGGAAAATATTTGAACACCTTGTCTTATTCATCATGTTAAAATAAAACGTTCCATAATCAATTTCTTTTCTTTTTTCAATTTTTCGGAAAAAAACAAAAAAGGCTTCAGGAAAAAAATGGGGGGGGGGGGAAACGGTTTTTTTCTGAATTTTTCCAGTTTTTTTTTCAGGCCTTCACATCTCTAGCTTTAACACTCTTCTTTTTAAAAAAGATTTGAAAAATCCTATTTCAAATCTTTTGTATGTTCCTCCTCCTCCACCTCCTGTTTTTAGTTAACTTAAAACAGGAAGTCTCCTGAGACTTATGCACCTAGCAACAAATGTTCAAGTGGTGATTAGAAACAACCATGGAGACTTCCCAAAGGAAATTTCAGTAATCATCATCTTTAATTTTTAAAAAACCCTCAATGTAGCTAGTACAGGTATCTTCACAAACAGTCATAAAGGATGAATGAAAATATAGGTTTCTTTAAGTTAGAATGGTGAGTTAAAATCTTTTTCTTCCAGCATAGCTTTGATAGGTTCTACATACTCACAAGAAAATTGTTGGTCACAAGAGAGCATACCATATCCAATTAGAAACTCCAGATACAAAGCAATAATGGACCTCTGGACCTGCTGGACCTCCTGATGGCACTGGTATTTCTGGCCACTGTGTGACACAGAGTGTTGGACTGGATGGGCCTTTGGCCTGATCCAACATTGGCGTCTCTTATGTTCTTATGTTCTTAATGCATTGCAGTTCAGATCTCCAAATATACTGGACATCAAACTTTTGTACCTTAGCATTCAAAACAGAGACATAGGCCCTGACCTGGGTAGCCCAGACAAGCCCAATCTCGTCAGATCTCGGAAGCTAAGCAGGGTCGACTCTGGCAAGTACTTGGATGGGAGACCTCCTTGGAATACCAGCAGTCGGGAGGCGGGGGCAGGCTTTATCCAGCCCACCTCTCTGAATATCCTCCAGGCCCCCATGACTTCCAGGTGCACACACACTCTCACACAAGCATGAAAAATAAAAAAGAACAGAGACATGGCACAAAACTCTGCAATAGAATCAGTTTCTTAAAAATGTGCCTCACAAGTTCCAGTGTACTAAAAATATGATGCCATATCACAGGGGTTTACAAGGCTCAAATACAGCTTCAAAGGACACTAATTTTTTTACAACTACAAAAACACCCTTTTCTGAAGGAATGCTGAAACATTCCTTTAAGAAAATGTCTTATTATGAAGATCTGCCATTCAGTCAAACCAGTCTGTCATCAACTATTCTTTCAAACCAAGTTTCATCCTGTTCCTTCCAAAACATCCTTTCTGCAATCTATGTTTTATATTGTCATGATAACTGCTTGAAGTAAAAAATGGAAACTGTTCTGAATTTGCTAGGCAGATACCCACGGACCCCTTTATGAAGAGTCAGGGACTTGTATATTGCATAGGTTTTCTTTTTTCCTTTGTGCCTTCCATCAATCAGCCTCATGCCTGCATGCAACCAGTTGTTATTGTTACTATGGCAACAGCAGCAGAACTTCTGGAAAGCAACCAGGAGATGAGAGGAAGTACATCCAGAATGGCCCAATGAACTGCCAACCGGATCTCCCAAGGTATTTAAAGCCTCCTTCCCTTCAGTGCATCACATCATAAGCAGAATGAACTTTCCTCATGCCAGTTGTAACTGCTTTGTAGAGCACTGTGTCCAGCTTCCTCTGGCAACATACCTTGACCAGTGATTTGGCATGGTCAACTTTCTACCAGCAGCCTATTTTGAATTTACTGTCTAGTAGTTAACATGTTTTCAAAGTCTTAAAATATTCTTTGTTAACATAAGTACTCTCCTTATTGTGAAAGATGCTGATTTGTATGTATCCTAGTATACAAAAGCCACGAACAAAACCTACATGCTTAGGGACAAGTTAATTTACTTGCTCAAATGTGAACTGATCAGGAGAGAAAATAAGATTAGTTACAGTTGCTTATTATACAATTCCAGTGTGATCGGGTTTGTTCATCACTTTATTCTCCCATGCATTCACAGTCTCTGCTGAGATAACGGCTTTCCAAGTCATGCCAGTGAGTAAAGCGCAAAACCACCACAAACCATGCTTTACCACCTTTGTTTTTACGGGGCTACATAGGACTGCTCAATGTTACTCTGAAAATATTAGACCAATGGGACAGCTTTTCCATACAACATCTCTTCTGAACCACATGAAGCTGCTGGGTGAGGTCCTCAGGAGATCTGGGGTGGGTTGTCACCAATATGTAGATGACACTCAGCTCTGTCTCGCTGCGCCAACTGATCCCAGGGAGGGTGTACAAACCCTGAACTGGTACCTGGAGGAAGGTTTTGAGTGGATGTGGGCCAATAAACTGAAGCTTAATCCCAACCAGACAGAAGTACTACTGGAAAGTGGAAAGTCTGACCTGGGAAAGCCATTCTGTGTGGGGTTGTATCCCCTTTGAAAGAACAGCTCCATAGTCTGTGGGTACTCAAGGACTCAGGCATACTGCTGCATAAGCAGGTGCTCACTGTGTCTCAGAGAGCCTTTTACCAGCTTAGACTGTTTAGTCAGCTGTACCCCCCCTCCTGGGCAGAAAAGATCTGGTCACTGTGGCGCATGCCCTCGTTACATCTAGATTAGATTACTGCAATGCAATGCACTTTCAACTAGAATCAACAGTGCTTAGATATAGCACACAACCTTCCTGAATTATTAAAGAGATCTCCACTATTTAAACTGAGAATCTGACAGCACTCTAAACTACTTGTGATTTTAAAACATTATATTTCAAACCAGAATGCACTTCTTCTTAAGTCAGCAAGCATGTGAACACACAGGCAAGCTTTAGGAAAGTTGTATTTTGTATGCATTTTGCCTTACTTAAGCAAAAGTGTGATAGTGCTTAATGTTCAACCACAAAAAATTCTGAACATGTGGCAGAATGCTACAGAAAACTTACAACAGACAGGAACATCATTCACCAACATGAACTCACTGAGATTTCAATTTATAACATTAATGTTATAAAACAGCCAGAATGCAGTAGCTGAATTAGTAATGCAACTTTGACAAATGGTATTTCAAAACTATATTTGTTGCAGCTTCTCGCCAAGGTTTCACTGTGGTGAAATCTTCTTTCAAAGCTTCCTGCCATCCCAATTGACCTGCAGAAGTTGTAATTTTTCCCTAAATTTGTCAAACCTAAGCCCAGATTTATCCTGCTTTCGTACTGAAATAATTCAAGCAATTGAAACATTTTTGGGGGAAAACATTCATTTTAAAGTCACTTAAATATCACTGGCAGCCTTCAGAAATTAGGCTGGGGATACTGATTATTAGGGGTAAGTACCCATTTATGTAGCATTTTTTTGTAGCTATTACTATTACCTTTATCTCAACCACCTACAGAAGAAACAGAGGAGACTCATGGAATGGATCCAGATTCCACGGGATGTTAAAAAATAACCATTCAATAGCACTATTTTGGATACTGTGGCCACACTAGTCAAACCACAGAGGATAAACTGAGGACACAAACAGAAGATGCTGAAGCGTGTATATGATTTAATGACGAGAAACCTGCACAGTGCAAAGCCAGTCATGCAGACTTCATCATGTGTGCATTCCAAAGTATTCATACCTATCCCAGAGATTCTTTGACTCCCGTAACTTGTTTAAATGGAACACTTGGTAGAAAGTAGCTGAAGGATTCCTATGAGAGCCAGGAAATGAGACAAGATTGAGAATGGACAACAGCCTATTCAAAGGAAAAGATTTGAGTTTTTATTTTGACACATTGTATCCTAGACCCAAAATTCTGCAATAGTACAGGACTGAACAAAGGAAGGTGAAGAATTCAATTAAAAATTTTTTTGCACGGCTGGTTCAATCTCGTCTAGCATTTTATTTCCAACAGTGGTCTCTGGATATTCATAAACCAGACAAGATTACTTTTCCCAATTTGCAGCCAGCATCTGATATTCAGAGATATACTATAGCCGTACACAGAGGTTCTGTTTAACTAATACGCATTACATCCCATGGCCCACAAAAGTTAAGATACTACTTAATAACGCTTACAAATCTAGCTTTTTCAGAAGACCTAAATAATGTAAATGCAGATTATGACATTCAAGGTCTGCACTTGCTAATTAGGAAATACTTGCATTCTACTTCTTCACCCAAAGAGTGATTGACACATGGAATTCACTGCCACAGGAGGGGTGGTGACTACAAGCATGGACAGCTTCAAGAGGTAATTAGATAAACATATGGAGCAGAGGTCCATCAGTGGCTATTAGCCACAAAGTATAGATAGGAACTCTCAATCTGGGGCAAGTGATGCTCTGTATTCTTGGTGCTTGGGGGGGGCAACACTGGGAGGGCTTCTAGTGTCCTGGCCCCGCTTCTGGACCTCCTGATGGCACCTGGTATTTTTGGCCACTGTGTGACAGAGTTGTGGACTGGATGGGCCATTGGCCTGATCCAACATTGGCTTCTCTTATGTTCTTATGGTTTTGGAAAATTTGCAGCTTTAAAAGCACACCATTATCTGACAATTGCATTATAACAATCCCACCTCACTGCAGACTCCATGACCCTTGTAGCTGTCCAAGCAAGTCCCACAACCCCATCCTTCTGGGTGAGAGGGAGAATATAGTGTTCACAAGCACATTCCACACCAGTTAATGGAAAACACTAAGGAAAAGCAGGTTGCTTACCAGTAACTGGTGATCTTCAAGTGGTCATCTGTGCATTCACACCCATGGGATTCAGTGCGCACACGCTGGATTGATCGGTGCTGTAGCAAGCTCTTTTCTAACGTATTTTTGCGCCCAGTCCCTCCGGGCATGCACAGGAACCCCACTACGCATGCCCAGAGGGGTGGGTGCGGACATCCCACCAGTTCCTTCAAAGTACCACCGCAAATCAACCCCCATTCGAAAATGTAGAAGCTGACAGCAGCGGGGAAGGAGGGCGGGTGGTGTGAATGCACAGAGGACCACTCGAAGATCATCAGTTACTGGTAAGCAACCTGCTTATCTTCGACGTGGTCTCTGTGCTTCACACCCATGGGAAGTACATCCTTCAACTGGAACATGGTAGGCCGAAAGAGCGGCCAAATAAACTTTCAACAATGAATGGGAAAGGCCACCATGGTGTTATTAGGATGCAGTCCGCGTTGTCCTTGAGTATCTTGCAGACCACTCTCAGAAGCAGAGGTAAGGGGAAGAACAGGTAAAGGAGCCCTGATGACCAAGAGTAAAGGAGACCGTCCCTCAGAGATTGTGGGTCCTTGCCTCCTCGACTGCAGAACAGATGACATTTTCTGTTGCTTCTGTTCGCAAAGACATCGACTCGGTGAGTCCCCCACTTGAGGAAGAGTGGGAGGAGGTATTTTGGGTTCATCCCCCACTCGTGTAGGCTGAGTCTCTGAGTCCGGCTCGACTTAGATGGTCTACTGCACGTTCGTGTGGCCAGGGATGTGAGTGGCCACAAGGAATATGTCGTTGTCAATGCACAACTCCCACAACTGAATGGCCAGGTTGCATAGGCGTTGGGACACCGTGCCTCCCTGCCTGTTGATATATGACAGCGCTGTGGTGTTGTCCGTCAGGACTGTGACACGTTTTCCCTTGAGTAAAGGGAGGAAGGAGGGGAAAGCGTGTCGTATGGCTAGGAGAGTTCGAGGAAGTTTATGTGTTTTCTCCTCGTTTGTGCATCCTATTTGTCTCCTACAGACAGCCCCATGGAGTGTGCACCCCATCCCGTCAGGGACGCATCCGTAGTTATTGTGACTTCTGGTGACGGAGGGTGTAAGGGCACTCCCCAAAGGATATTGGCAGGGACAGTCCACCAAGATAAAGAGTCCTGTATGCTGGGAGGAGGGGATAGGACGACAGTGTGTGCATTTTTTGACAGGTCATAGTGGCAAATGAACCATAGTTGTAAGGGACGCATTTTGAGTCTGGCAAAGACGAGAACCAACGTAGTTGCCGCCATTAGACCAAGCAGTCTCTGAATTTGGAAGGCGGTGACGGAGAGTTGGGTACGGACACCGTTGGCTAGGGAAATAATATCTGCTGCCCTTTCTTGGAGCAGGTAAGCCATGCATGTCTGTGAATCCAGGATTGTGTCGATATACTGTATGTGCTGGGCTGGATACAAATGATACTTTTGCCTGTTGACTTGAAGGCCCAGATTCTCCAATAATGCCAGAGTCTCTGCGACGTTTGAGATTAGGGCGACTTTGGAAGGCGCTACCAGAAGCCAATCATCTATATAGGGATAGATCACTTAATGTTGTGTGAAAACCAATAAAGATCTATTTTTTTAAAAAAAATCTATATAGGGATAGATCGAAATACCCTGTAGACGGAGGAAAGTCGCAACCAATCATGGTCTTCGTAAAGACTCTTGGGGCGCTGGAGAGGCCGAATGGAAGAGCTGTATACTGAAAGTGCCGGTGACCAATCGCAAAGCGTAGGTATTGGCTGTGAAGGGGTGAATAGTGATGTGGAAATACGCGTCTTGGTGGTAGAGGGTTGCCATCCAGACGTGTCTGCGAAGCAATGGCATGATCTGTTGAAGCGAGACCATGCGAAAGCGGTGGTAAGTCACGAAGCGATTCAACTCCCTGAGATCTAATATGGGTCGAACGCCTCCGTCTCTCTTTGGGACTCTGAAGTATTGGGAATAAAATCCCATCCTGTGGAGATGTGGTGATAAATGTTCTATGGCTCCCTTTTGCAGAAGGACGGACACCTCCTCGAGGAGAGGTGGGGAAGGGGGCGTGGAGATGATGACTGGAATGCTGGGGTTCTGCATGAACTAGATTCTGTAGCCTCGGGTCAAGATGGCGAGCACCCACTCGTCCGAGGTGATGTGATGCCAAGTGTGAAGAAAGGGTGACAGACGGGTAATAGCTGACTCGGTGACAGGGAAGTCAAAAACCCTGTTTGGAGGGTTTAGACTGTTTGGTGCGGGAAGCCTGTTGGCCTGAACCGAATTTTGGTTTCTGGAAGGTGGGTTTTTGGCCCCCAGAAGACGTTCTTGGCCTCCAACGGGTGTCAGGAGACTGGTGAGTTGGGGTGCGCCTCTGCCAGGATCTCGACCAGTTACGAGGACAATAGGGTTGTTTCGCAGAGGATGAGACCCCTAGAGCTCGGGATGCCTTTATACTTTTATCTATCTCTTGAAGAGTAGAATCAGTAGTGGCATTAAACAGACCAAGGCCATCAAAGGGAAGGTCCTCTACGTAAGACCTAGTGTCTATTGGCAGGTTAGTGTTGCGGAGCCAGGAATGTCTTCTAAGAGCTATTGCAGACGCCATTGTCCATGAAGACGCCTCGAGGACATGTTTGGTAGTGTTAAGCTGTTGTTTCACCAACACCATGCCCTCTTTCTGTATGACCCTGGCTGCCTGCAGTTTGTCATCTGGTAGGTGGCTGAGAATTTCTGAGAACCATTCCCAAAGAGTGTATTGGTAGCAGTTCACACAGGCCAAGTAGTTGGTGGCCTTGACTCCCAATGCTCCAGTGGAGTAAAATCGTCTGCCAAAGGCATCCAATTTCTTGCCTTCCTTGTCAGAAGGTGTGGAGTGTGCCCTCCTGTTGAGGATGAGAGAAGAGAAATTCTGCATCCGTGTCTTGTACTCTGTACATGTGGTCCAGTTTCCGTGTGGACACTGGAGCCGATGAAGGTTTTAGCCATGGTGATTTAGCTGCTTGGAGAAGTACCGAGGACATGGGCAATGCCAAGGTGGAAGAGGTGTCGAGCTGAACTATATCATAGACTGAGTCTGTCGCCTGTTGTTGTTGTTGGATGACAGAGAGACCTAAGGCATAGGCCATTCTTTTGACCAGATCTGTATAAGACGTTAAGGTTATCTGATGGGGATATGGGTAAGTCCTCAGCGACATCCTGGTTGGGAGACTTATGGTCAGGAGAAGTGTGAGCCTCAGAAGCCTTCGTATCTGAGTCCTCTTCTGCAAAGTCTTGCTGTTGAATTTGGACAGATGTGTCCTGCTGACAGGCCAGTGGTTTCGATTGGATGACAGGAGCAACAGGGGGTGGAGTGACCGGAGGGTTGAGAGGACAACTTGGTTCCAAATTATGGTGGGACGGATCAACTGCAGGAGGACGTGACAGAGATGCTGAAGGTCTCGATCTATGAGGGGATCTCGACCTATGAGCGGATTGGGTGGAATAGCGATCCCAATCAGCATAGTTCGCAGGCGTTAACCACAGCAGGGAAGATGGATATGCCCCATAGACAGGGCATTTTTTGTAGAAAAAGCCAGCAGGAACTCGTTAGCATAATAGGCCACACCCAAAAGCAGAAACTCATTAGCATATTAGGCCACACCCTGACAGCACAACTCATTGGCATATTAGGCTGCACCCCTATGTTACCAGAAATGTGGTCATCCAGCCACACCCACCTTTTGATTCTTATTCTGTTTATCTTGTTTGTTGTCAAAACCCAGAGCTTTTTTTGTAGCAGGAACTTCTTTGCATGTTAGGCCACACACCCCTAATGTAGCCAATCCTAATGTGTTTCTGCTGTTGGGTGTGTGGCCTGTTATGCTAATGAGTTCCTGCTGGGTGTGGCCAACTCGGGAGCCAGCCGGAACTCCGTTCCTGTGCGTTCCTGCCCAAAAATAGCCCTGCCCATAGAGGTACCTCAACTGTCGTCGTTCCCACGACATC